TAGCAAATTCATGATACTACTTTTTTTAAAGTCAATATATTGAAAATATATTACAGTATCCACATATTTAACTTCTTTTTTAGTTGTTTGTTTGGGTTTTTTCTTTGTTTTATAGATTTATTTATTCAAATTCGTTACCTTGTTTAGTTAGTCTATAAACTTTTATTATTTATTTTTGTTATTAGGTATTTTCAATCAATTTAGATAATTAACTTTTAAATGTTTCTTTAAATATGAATTCTGAAGTTTTATTAAATCTGTTAAAATGTGTAGTATAGATGAGATTTTTTTCAAAATTTCCACGTATTAATGGACACCCTGTATTGTTAGCCATAGGTTTTATTCGTATATATGGAGTATTATATCTTTAAAGAAGTAGTATCATGTCTTTGCTATTTACAAAATACCTAATATTGCCAAGAAGTGACCTTAGTTTTAAATTCAACAAGAATTTAAACGGGTGTTATCTTAAACCTCGAATATCTCAAAAAGTAAGTAAAATTTAAATATAAGATAAATTACAAACTTAGCTTATTTTATGTCCTAGAATTAATATCTGAATAAAAATATAGAGTGTTTCGTTTGAAAATGTTGAGATTTTGTTAATGAACTCGCCAGAACGGCATCACCTATTTGCGACACCCTGTATAAGCTGAGCCGCATCTGTCAAACTGATTGAGTAGTGCATCATCTTCTTAGTCTGTGGTTAAATTTTAATTGCAATTCCTGAATCTGAGGCATCACAACACAATTTTATATGGGGCAATCAAAATATGAAAAAAAAAACATAACCTCAATTTCTGCCTAAACTATGCAAATTCGAACAGGAATTTCTTAAGAAAGTGATCTTTATTTTAACAAAGGATTCCAAAAATTTCGAAATATATAGCGTATTCCATTTAAAACATCTTCGATCCGTTAAAGACATAATTCAGTTTGAGAGACCAGGAGTTTTCAGCATTCCATGCATATGCAGCAAAGAATATATTGAAGAAACAGGACGAAAAATAGAAACTAGGCCAAAAGAATATGAACGAGAATGAATACTATAATAAATAAACTAAAATTCTTGCATGTAATATATTCTTGTACCAAAGAAAAATTCAAGAATCCATAGCAATCAACCAAACAATCTTTCATCCGAAGACAAGAATCAAAGACTGCAAAGCTGATAAAGTAAAGAATCATAATGTTTTAATGTTTCATTAATAAGTACTTGTTGAGTTCAATCAAACAAGAATGATTTTGGTAGACGCTGAGCACTATCATTCAGAGTAATAAATCGTAATATAGAAATAGACCATATTAAAAACTATTGAACTATTGACTATATTTAATGACGGCATCAAATTTAACATTGAGAAAGAGAGAAACTTCTTAAATAATTCAATAATTAATAAAATTGTTTAATCTTTAACTGTAGATTACTTTTGGTGAATTGACTAAACTTAATTTTTAATAGAAAAACAAGGGATATTAAAAAGTAATATATCTTTATTTTTATTTATTTATTTATTATTTTTTATTTGCCGTTATAATAACACTGCGACACCCTGCATCAACAAAATGATAAATTTTTAAATCTTCAGGAGAGTCTAAGAAACTTACGTAGGAAACTTTTTTTCGTATCTCCTATAGGTTTCCAGATCGTATAGTGATGATAATATATAATGTGTCTTATTTAAAACAGTACACCCTTGTAAAATACTTATTTAGGGTTTATGTTGCTGATTGTAACATGGGGTCATGGTCAACTGGGACATTTTTTTGATGCCAAATCTCCAGAAGAACTATTAGGGAGTCCTTTGAGAATATATCTATCTATAGTAATTTCCATGAAGCACAAATACACGGTGCTCGAAGTATCACGTGATTCTCGTTTAAGCACTACTTCTGTAGAATGTTTGTTGATGAGTCAATTTTGATAATTCCTTTTTATTGGATAGACCGTTCTAAAAGACACTGAAACTTTTAACATTTAAATAAATTGGTTGCTGGGGCATTAGCCGAGGGGGATTGTTTAACATGTTCTCCGTTTTTATTAATTTTACTTTGAAATTTTAAAGTCGAAAAGTAGTCTAAAAATCCTAGCATGATGTCATTCACGGATTTATTTTACGTAATTTCGGAAACGAGCAAATTTTCATTGAGAAAAACGCGAGATGCAGGGAAAGAACATTTATTTTTGTAGCACCATCGCAGACAGGTGATGAATCTAGCGAGAGTCAACGTCCTCGTTTAATATTTCCCAAGAAACCGGGATTCCTTCTAATATTCATGCAAATCAGCGAATGACAAAATTCGCAATAACATAATCGTAAATTCTTGAGACAATTTTCAACCTTAACAGTGAGATCCGTCCGCGTATAAGTATTCGTGTACAGTCGACGCCATCGTCACTGATGATTTATACGGTTTGCTTCCGGGTTCCGGACAATGAAGTGCTCCGGGTAGATGGGGCCATTTTCTAAAATTGGCGGTTTATTTCCGGCGAATTTCCCCTCGCGATATTTTTGGATTATTGGCGAATTTCGAGGACATTCGAAATTAAATAGCCAAATAAGAGCCATTTTATTAAACTATCTTGATTGCCGCGTTTTGGTAGCCGAAACTTTGAAGCCAGACTTTAAGACATAAGTCATTCAAAAAATGCTGGTGAGTGGGCTGAGGTGTAGTGCCTAAAAACGGTTACTACGGTGACCACGTAAAGAGCAGAAAATAATTCCCAGAATAATGGAATCATTGCCGTGTGTTCTATTCTATTATATTTTGTTTTATTCTATATAGTTCTTTGGAAATCTTCAATGGATTATACTAAGCACAAATGCAAAAACCAAGAAACTAAGTTCACAAGTCTATGAAGCGTAACTTCGATTTGTTATCATGCATATGAAATGACAGTTTCGAATTCAAACAGCAAGTTCTTTGCAAACTGCCCGGTATTGCGGCATTTTTTATATCAGTCCTTATAAAACAAATATCGGAAAACACCTTTTTTCTACTCCCGTCTGTAAAATGCCTAATTACACACATTTACGGGATTTTACTGCAATCGGATATTTTTGGAGATATTTCCCACGCCTTGAATTGTGACGTTTGTCAATTCTGACAGTCATGTCAATGAATGTATCGTGTTGCGCTCCGCTCGTGTCAAATAAACTGGTGAGTCAAATGACGTTTACCGTACTTGTTGCATAATATACTATTAACCTATCATACCATATTTTTGTTTGGGATGGCAGTATGCCCTTCGAAGAGGTAATTATCGCCCAAAAAAGAATCATAAGAACAATAACTTTTAAAAACGGTACCTTTTCAGGAAGCTAAAAATACTTACTGTGAGTTCAATATATGTTTTGCATTGTGCCACTTATGTACGAAAAAATTTACAGAACTAGGGTTTACAGTTATATTACTGTATGACCTAATAACTTTCGAGTTCAACAGCATGGGTTGAGTCGTACCATTAGAAGCAGCTATGTAATAATGCCTATTAAAATTTATAATCACTTGCGGGACTCTTTTAGACTTATTATTAATGAAAGCAAATCTAAAAACTCACTAAAAAAAAATATTATTCAGTAAAATAATATACTCCATGGAAGAGTTTTTCCAGTAATGATTGCTCAGAGAGTGTATACGTGGTGAAGGAAATTTTATATTTTGTCATATTATGTGTTGTTTCTGTATTTCTTTGTATATCTTTTTTTGACGAAACACATGCACCTTTTATAAGTACCAACATTGTTGTGAATTTAAATAAATAATTTCTACAAACAATATCGCTATTGTTAAAAAGAGAACTATTTGTTATTTAAGGCATTTAAGTTTCTATTTCTCTATATTTTTGAATACATGAAAATATTATTCTGTGTATATTTGCATGACAATGCTATTATTCCTTGATTATCTATGGAATACAATAGTGGTACTGCGGTGTCGAAAAAGTCTTTGCGCGTCCGCCATTTGTCAATAACATACAAATCAAAATTTGGGTAATATTGTCAGATTTAAGGGGACTATTCTTACGACATTTTCCATATAATAACAATTCATAACAAGTCACTAATAAAAACCGATAGACAGTTCTTCGTTGGCGTAAACTAACAAAAATTCAGAATGTCGAATGCGAAGTTATAAGAAAAAATAGCTGATGATCAAAACCCAAAAGAATCGAACTACGTCACCTTAATTAGATTAACCTCCTGAACGTCGTAAGCGTTAAAACGTGTGAGGTTTGTGAATTTAAATAGACATTGAGTATTCCCAATACAATGTCCAGTTTTCTTCACTCTACATATGTATAACCCACTACCAGGATCAAGCGAATTAAGAAACATATTTAAAAGAAACACCGTTAAATAACTTGTATCGTAATTGTTCTGTTAACAGACCAAATTTGAAATTAATTATTTTGCTTAAATATTTTTCCAGAATGTTTAACAATACTGAAATAATATACAGAACTTTATCATTTTTCGTTCCATTTCAAGGTTGATATTTAACGTAAAACCCTGCATGGACTGACACTAAAATGTAATAATTAATGTATTTAAGACGTCAGTTTCATTACCCATGGCCACGAGCCACTTCTTACATACTTTAATCACGGGTATGAGAGCGATCACATTTATTCGGTTTATTTTAGCCGCGGATGGTATTTTGATTTGTACCAGTGCTCATAGTCGGTCACTGTCACTCAGTGCATTCGTGCTCTGTATGATAAAGTTCTTCAGTGACCCGTTTATTAAATAGTCGCTCCGCTTGTGCCAAAACAAGTTGGTGACGAAAGTGTCGTTTACGAAACTTGTTGCTAATATACTATTATTAATAACGTTCATTTTAACGGAATAAATTATATGCCAAAAATACGTCATAGTAAATGTTTTAATGTATAATTGGACAAAAAATAATATAGGGTGATAAAAATGTTATCATCACCGATAAAAAAAAATATTGTTTTTAAATATATATTTAACGAACTGTTTAGAGCTGACGGTACTTTCGGAAAAAACTTTGATGAACACACTTGGTAAACTGAAAAATGATTCAACGGGTTTTACTGTTTTGCAGTATAACAATAATTCATTGCTCTGGCGGTAAGAAATCATGCATTTATTTTGTTTTTTATTATGGTTTGCTAAAGCTGCGACGGTTATTGCGTGATCTGCTTTCAACATCACAGACTAGTACTATAAATAACTTATTATATGGGTTGATTTGTCAAATAATTATACTCTTCCGATTGTAATCTAGATGGGTCCACATATACGTAAGTAGCATATAATAGTATTTAGGAAACGCATCTGATTTTCTGTATGCGCTATTGCAAAAACAGTGCTTGGTCATCATAGCATAATTATCGATCTAACTGTACGATGCTAATGTTTATAATTGTAAGTTAGTTTTAGGCTGCTTTTCTGGCACAGAACTCGTTTGTTGTGTTTAAAAGCATTCTTGTTTTTTACGACAGTTAATTGCCTTAAATTGATTTTTTTTTAAAACAGTTTCTTTTGTCAACAAGCTTATGTCAGTCCGCTAATATCCTTACTTGTGTATAGTGTATTAGGCAATAACTTTGATAAACTACATTTTAGTCACGAAATTCATTTGACCCAAGCGGAGCGAATATTTAAATACAGCGTTATAAATGTATTGCATACTACACTATTTCTACAACATTAATTTTGGACTTTTTGAATGTCGGAACTGATGAAGGTCGAAATATCATCAGTATTTAAAATCTACAGAAAACGAGCCAAACTCGTGACCAAACCACCGGCAACGACGAAGTGTCTTACGAAGCTGATGCCTAAAAGAGACACTTTGTACAAGGCTTATCAATGCATAATTGCATATTTTAGAATAGGGTATACAGCCATTTGTGTGAAGAATGTAACTATTACTGACGCTACAGCCAGCTAAATTTTTTTTAACTCCATATAATACTCTAGATTAAATAAAATTAAAAAGTGTGACTTAGTAAGTACACATGCCATAATTAGGCAAAGAAAACTTATTGAAACAGAAAAAAATAAGTTAAAATTACAAATCGGAAATAATGATAAAAAAACGGATTACTCAACCAATTTGCCAAGAACTGTGTTGTAATGTTATATATATTTTTTAACAAAGTCAAGGATTATTTTTTATGTAAACAGATGGCTTTCTTTTTAAGGAAATAATGTAACGATCTAATTCGGTCACTTTCTGTTTAGAAAAAAATGCGGTTGTCAATCCAGATAAACCGTTCCAACTCCAACATAAAGAGTCGAACTTGTTTCTTGACGAAAATCTAAATTTTGTGGAACTAAAAAACCAGGCAGCTACTTTCGAGTTCGAATCGGCATTTGTAAGCCGCCGTGTAACGGACCGTCGTATCAAGGAAATAAAATCTGGGTGAGTTAACATATATTGTATATTACATAGCTATGTGTACCAAAGACGACTATGGCACATGTTATACACATTATGTCTACATTTACCTTGTTGCATAACTTTCTAATACTCAAAATTAATCAAAACACTAAATTCAATTACAGGAAAGTATTTGCTATTGAAGGCGGATGCGATGGAAAAAATATCACTTTGCAAAATAAGGCTGGAGGAAAGAATCAATTATTCTTTGTGTTAACTACTAGCGCCATCCAAACATATTGTGATGAAAACAAATATTTAACGCTGAGTAGTACAAATAATTTAATATCCGAGTATATCGATTACAAAAACAAAAATAAATATCAATTTAATTATATACAACAATAGATGTCACATGTTCTAAAACCATAATAAAGGATTTCAAAATGTCGACGTGTTTCACTCAAATTGCCAGATAAGATCGTATAAATTAATTAATAATGATAAAGATATGTTTATAAGCAGCATATTCACCATTAAAATAATATTTTGCATTAAGCAGCTTCCTAGGTACCAAATAGTTTCATCAATACTATTATACGACACAATCATTTTCGGTGTACATAGGACACCTAAAAATTATTTCTAAAAAAAAATAATGAGTGTATTTTATTCGTTCAAAATTCGCACACACAATTAATGCAAACACTACTATTTCCTACAATTTCTGATTATGACAAGGTCTCTTTATGTTATATTACAATTCCAATTTAACCAGCCATTAAAAGGCGACTATGGCACATATTATACACAATTGGTGTGTAAAGTGAATTTGTGTACCCACTACAAGTACAAAAAGTACCACTTTACGTATGCCAAGTCAAATTTTAAAAAGTTCTAAATAATACGAATATGCCACGTTGTTGTCTGAATCCAATTAATAATGGTGCATCTGACCTTTTCCCTTCAGAAATTATTGCACAATACTGGGATGAATTTATATAAAAGTAATCCGTAATCCCACAAAATAGATTTACCTAACGCCGACTCTCAAGATGCTTGCTTTTTTCTACTCCAAAATTCCCAATTATGGACAGATCAATGCGTACAGACAGTCGCACTTCGACATGAGTTAAGGGTTTGGAGCTATCAGATGTTTCCGATCGCGTGTCTTGCAAAAATGCAACGCGTTGATGAACTTGTTCAAGCATTACACTGCGCTCCGCTAGCCCCAAGTGAAACTCGTCACTAAAATAGCTAAAATCAAACTTGTTGCATCATATACTATTAATTAGTGCGCTTTGAGCTACTGCAGAAATACCTTATATGCAAGGCGACCATCGGATTTTAAGTACATCTACGCACCCAAAAATTTCTTTGCCACGTAAAGCAAAAAAAAAATCCGTAAGTTAAAAAGGTAAAGAGAAATTTAATTGTTACAAGCTAGATTTAGATTTATTTAGTTAAATATCTAAGTTTAATCCAAAATATCAATTAGCATAATTTTAACAGGTAACAAATAATAGGCATACACACAGAGGTAACGGTAATTAGTTTCAGCGCCTCTATATTCCAGCTCACGTCTCGTCCTTACCTCCCTTCCTTCTGAGCACAAAAGGTACTAAACACTAAAAAAATTCATCCTAATAAATAATAATTGATTTTACTCAATTTCACTGGCGATATTGAGGTTTCCAATCCAAATTTCTAAAATATTTAACATTAACTACGCTTAGACGGAAATTTAAATTACTAGTTTCGTTGCATTGTCGCGGAATGGCTACTCGTACCTTGGAAACAGGATAGCGATCACAATCCCAATTTAACTCTAACTTATCTCAGCTACATTGTAAACAAACGTAATTAAGGTTAGAACTTTCAAAGTCAAAGCACTCTCGCGTAAAGTAAAGTAACCTATGTAATGCTACTGTAATACTTTTTATAAAACTTCTGTATCCTCCTGAGTCGGTTTTTGTTGAGTCGAACTAGCTAACTTTTCGCCAATCATCCTGTTGGCTTCTTCAGAGCTTGACTGAAACTTGCTCACATTTTACTCTGTAACTGCTGCTGTAACCCTTACCTTCAAATTTAACTTTTTGTTCACTATCACGTGGCCTCTTCTGGCGCGGAATGATTTAACTGGGTACTTAAGGTGGTTCTGGTTATTTCCGGGCATAATAAATGATCCTATCAAAATAACAAGGACTAGTTTGTTCGGATAACCAGCGACAGGTATTTTCTTTTGTCAATATCTCCAAGACGGTCGCCCAAGGTGAAAGGTGAAGTGCGTGTTTCGACAACCCTTGAAACTAGGGACTATCCATTGTAGAACTTTTATACTTTATACCTTTCACAAGCAGATTGTTTTGAGTTTAGGCTTTTGTGTTTGTGTCTTACATGCCTGTTATGCCTGTGCTTTATATAACACCAAATTCGTACTTTTGGTTTTTCCCCTTTTTTTTGGCAACTTTGTTTAATAACAATAGATGCTCGCTGTTCACTTAAGGCCTAGATTTTTTTTCCGGTTTTGTGATGATCAGTTTTTCAGTATTCGAGGAGCTACGTGCGATGAAAAACGGGTGGCGCGAAAATCTCTCTAATCTTGCTATGTCTTACCCACCCCTCTCACCAACTGGGCAAAAGTAGAACGTACCCCGCAATATTAAACATATTTCGAGTAGTGAATCACCGAGTATAGGCTGACTACCCTCAATTTAACGCTTCGGTTCCCCGTTATCATTGAGCTCTTTTTTAAAGTTTTTTTTGTTAGCCCGTTGAAATGCTAACAGAATAAGTCAATGTCTTTGTCACTTCTAACAAGGAATATGATAGTGCATAAAGTACAGCATTTGAGTCACGAATTTAGTGACTTCAAAAATTTACCAAACGTGTTGCATTTTTTAACTTTTTCTATACGAGCACTAGTATATGGGCACATTTTTCCAAAGCACCTACGAATATATTCACTGACATGACCGTCAGAACCGAATACGAAACTCACATGGTAAAATGACGTTTCCCTCTTTCCCGCACTCCAGATCGGTGTATAATTAGGTATTTGAGTTATTTTTTATTTCAATTTGTTCGGAAATAGTGTTTTTGTGTATTATTATATAGTATATTATTTGACACGAGCGGAGCGAGTGTTTAATAAACGAGTGAGTTAAGACGTTTACCGAGCGTGTTGCATACTATACTTTTTCTACGACCGTTAGTTTTTTCGCAAAACAACACGAATACATTCACTGACATGATGTCAGAACTGACAAACGTCAAAATTCAAAGCGAGGCAAATGTCTCCGAAAACATCCGATTGCTCCCAAATCCTCGTAGTGGCTCGCATTCATGGGAAACGAAACTAATGTGGTAAAGTGACGCTTCCCGCACGCCATATCGGTGGGTACTTAGGTATTTTACAGACGGAAGTAGAAAAAAATTATAAAAAAATTAACTATTATCTTAGCACGCAGGTCGAATTCAGACTCTGTATGAAAATCGTTTCTTTTGCATGACAATAGGACAAAGAAAAAGTAAGTGTCAAAGTAATTTCGATTTAATATGGGCCGAAATATTCCACCTTTAATCTGACTGAATAATTAATGGTAAAACATAAAATTATCAAGTTTGTGCAAGTGTAGGCGATCTTTTTTGAAACATGGATTGGCGATAAAACTATCGTCAAAAATACTCAGTGATAAGAGAAAATAATTGTAATTACGTTTTAATTATGATAATAAAATATTTGTAATAACCTTTAATGAGCGCTTCAGTTTGAAATAAATTGCTGCAGAATTTCGACGAACACAATTAGTAAACTGACTTACAATGGACCAGATATTTCAGTGGCTTATATTATTTTGCGGTATAAATAATTTCCATATTTCTGGTGGTAAGTATACTTTACGTTCATTTTGAATTTGAAACGAAAGCAGATTCCTGAATACCCAAAACAAGCCCACAAGTGGGAGTATTCGTTTGCAATAATATACATACTATATGTATAATCAACACAATAAAATTTCAAAAGGTGCTGTTGTCAATCCGGACAGACCGTTTCAACTTGAACATAAACAATCAAATTTGTTTTTAAACGAAAACTTAAAATTTGTGGAATCCAAACAGCAAGCAGCTACTTTCATGCTCGAATCGTACAGTAGTAGCCGACGCACTGACCGTTATATCAAGGAAGTTAAGTCTGGGTAAGTTTTCTACATTCACTACTTATAGTACTGCCTACACACTAGTATACAAGTATGTCCAACCCGTAGTTGGCATACAAATCAACAAATATTTTCAGGAAGGTGTTTGATCGGGTGGATGCAATGGAAGAAACATTATCTTGTACAATAAGTCCGGTGCCAAAAATCAATTATTTTTTGTTTTAAACACCGGCTCCATTCAGACGTTTTGCAACCAGTATAAATACTTAACCATGGATGCAGCGAAAAATCTAATATCCGAAGATGCCGATTACTCCAACAAAGAAAAATACCATTTTAAATTTATACAATAATAGATACATCTACAACTATGATCTTAATATACGATTTCAATTGCTGATGTGTTGTGAATTTTTAAACTAGACTTAGACTTTAATACAGTATGACGTCATAAACGGGAAAAACACGAAAGTTCGACACCCATAGCGATGAAGCCCGGGGATCTATAAAAGCGAGATGGCGCATCATGGCAGAGGGAAATGTAGAGCCTCAAAATATAAATAATCTACTAATATTGTATAAGTAGTGCATAGTGAGTAGCTTTTGGTGACTTTAATTGTTCTTTTTGAAGAAGTAAATTTTTACTTTCATTAAGATTTACCCATAGAATGATCAATAGAGTAGAGAGTCATAAAGATGCGACATTATTTACAGTTTTTCTATAGGTTTTGATATATTGTACGGGTAAGACCCTTATTTTAATATTTTTTGTTGCAATAAAAATGATTTCGTTGCATTTCCCTTAAGTGGTAGAGCAAAAACTATTCTACGAGCCAGGAATCGAACTCATCCCAGCTTTAAAACGATGTTCCCCTGGCGGAAATGCTAGAAACCTAAAAATAATTTCCAGCATCTTGACCGCTTTAGTTATAAGTTTTTTCAATCCAAGTCTTTGCGACAATTACTTTTCCAGATAGGGTCGAGTACCCTTCTTAACTGACATCCATGCGATAGGTTTGTAAAATTTTGATCAATTATTTTGTTTAAAGTGAGTCAATTGATCTATTAATTATACTTCATGTTGCCGTTCTCAAATTACAATTATATTACAGTCTTCGATGTTTAAAGAGAAACGATCTAGATCTCTCCGTTAACTTTTATTGTATAAAAAGATGGAAACATAACACCAAATAACAAAATAAGTTGTATTAAACATAATTTATAATAACATAACAAGATCTAAACCTCAGTAGAAGTCACAATTGCTCTTGCAAATTCTGTTAAATCCAGAGGCAAAGGCCAATAATTAAATCAAGTGATATATGCCACAGATGTAGAAGCATGACGCGTACTGTAAGCTGAGAATTGTGCAAATCAATTCGGCTGCTTTGTAGGGTTGATTTAATCAATTTACTACTACGTTGCGTAGTTGCGGGATGTACCCGGCTTCTTAGGCTAAAATTAAGTAATCTGTACCTGTGGATATGTTTTCTTTAGTCTTTTCAATATAAATTTTAATAACAGAAGTCACGCATAACTTTGGGTTTTCTTTCAACTAAAAATGACAAGACCTAAAAGTAAACAATATTTGATATTTTTATTTTAGATAATGTTAGTATTCTGTGGCCTGTGATTAAGGCTAACAAAGTAACTAATTGCTGTGTTACTTTACAAATCGAGATCTCTTCTAGTGGATGAAAAGATGATAAAAAATTTAGAACACCGGTAGGATCTCATGATGTTTGATATTTAGGCTTTGGTGGATTCTGTGGCATCTATATATCAAATATCAGTAAGAGAGTTGCATGTTGAGAATTTAAAGTTGCATATGCGGCCTCCTTTTTGTATTCTATACATAAAAATGAAATCAACCCATCTAAAGAATGTAAATACTGGTCCTTGTGTAAATTGGTGCAAAATAACAGCCATTTTTGATAATATGAATTGTATTGGTTTAGCGTGTTTGTAACCACGGATCCCGGGATTGGATCAAGGCTTATTGCTGGAAGGCATCCTTATCCTTAATAATGTTTCTCAAACATTTTGTTATAAAACAAACCGGCGGAAATACGTAAAATAATTGATTTTTCAAAGATATTGAAAACATTGAATTTGCGTTTGCTTACGCTAAGACTAAAGCCATTATCATTTTAAAAGTTATCTTTTTCATGTGCGGACGTGTAGTATATGCAGTGATATTTGAAAATCGAAGACATTTTACTAGAATCAGTTTTACGCTAGTATAACAATATAATCTCAGGTAACATTTTTTTTATTGTTGAATATTTGGAAATTTATGTAGAAAAATTTGTTTAACCAAATGTCTGACCAAGAAGATTCTGAATTTGAGTATGCCAATTTATCAGAAACCGGTTCGGAGTAAAGCGACGACGATGACCAATCAAACGATATCTGGCAAACGATAAATACAGATATCTTGCATTCAGCTCCACCACGTTTCCAGTTTATTGGTGTCTCAGGTTGTACATTCAATGCAGATAATTTTGCAGTCTCGGATTATTTCCAATTATCAATCAATCAATCAATCGCTATGCAGAACAACAAACACGAAGATCGTCTGATGTATTATTACCTATTAAAACAGAGGAAATGCGAATATTTTTATCTATAAATATAATTCAAGGAATAATACAAAAGAAAGAATGTACTGGGCAACTAAAGACATTTTTGCTACTCCAATATTTCCAAAACTAATGTCTTTACGTCGATGTTTATACATAAAAAATACATTTTTCTGATAATTAATCATATGACTGACATACTTATCCGAATCCTTAACTAAAAAAATTTTGGCCTATTGATGAAGTTCTAAATAGAAAATTTAGTACATGTTCTATTACTAAACGAGACATAAGTGTAGATGAAAGTTTGTTATTGTACAAAGGACGATTGGAGTGGATCCAGTACATCGCTCTAAAACGATCTAGTTTTGGGATAAGAATTTACATGCGTTGCTAATCTAAAACAGGGTATTTGTATTCTTTTATTATTCATACTGGAAAAGGAACTATAATCTTCCAAAAATATAAAGACATGCCTATGACTTTACAGGTCGTATTGTCGTTAATAGATTCTCTACCAGATATGGGATATTGTGTAACGACTGACAATTATTACACGTCCCCACAACTAGCAGATTTCCTTGTATCCCATAAGATTTATATGGTACTCTGCGATCCAAATGAAAAAATTTACCACGACAACTTGTGACTAAAAAAACTAAAACAGGAGAATCTATAGCATTAAAAAAAAAGTTATGGTAATGAAGTGGAATAACAAGAAAGAAATTTGTGTCTTGTCTTGTCGACAATTCAGAATCCCGAAAATGTCCTAACTGCGAAGAAAGATAAAGAAAGAAATCCCATAAAGAAACCTTAAATAGTTGTGGACTACAATAACACAATGAGAGGCGTCGATAGATTAGAACAACACTTACATAACTATCAACTCATTGAAAACGGAGGAAAATATAATAAAAAAATATTTATGCATTTATTTGATTTTGCTATTTTCAACTCTTTTATTTTGTACAAAACGAATGGAGGAGCGATGGATAATTTGGAGTACAGAACAAAACTGATAGAAGAAGTGATATCACTTGAGCACGGACGGCAAGAAAGCAGGGCGGCAAAGACATATGGGACCATTACGACTAAAGAAACAACTGAATTTATTACTCCAACTGAAAAAAAGGCTGAATCTTAGAGAAATTGTGCAATAAGTTATTCAAGAAAAGAGAAAAAAACAGAAAAGAAAAAGATATTGGTGTAGTGACTATGACATGGGACTCTGCGTAGTAACTTGTTTTAAAATTTACCATGCACAATTAAAATATTAATAAAAACATTTTTTTGTATAAATTAGTTAAAATAAGCATAAATAATAATTCAAAGAAATTTCCCCAGGCTACTGTAATACTTTTTATTAAACTTCTGGTTTTTGTTTAGTCGAACTAGCTAACTTTTCGCCAATCATCCTGTTGGCTTCTTCAGAGTTTGGCTGAAAGTGGCTCGTATTTTACTCTGTACCTGCTTTTATATTGTTTGAGAGGGCGGTGCTAATCGCACCGCATTGCAATGACGGGCTGGTGTCGGATAGGCGGGCCAGAGATTGATGGTGGTAGAACCGGATTTGTTTAAAATCGTGAGGATTGGGTGCAGAAAAATTGCTACTACGAGTGTAATATTATTGTAATTTGAGAACATAAATATGAAATATATTTCTTTGTTTTAACTACCAGCGATATTCATACGTATGACGAAGAAGAAATATTTAACCAGGGGCACAAAGAATCTAATATCCGGCAATAGCGATGAAATCGATATAAAGAAATACCATTTTGATAATAAATAACAGTAGATTTCACAGGTATTAAGACTTTAATACATGATTTTCAAATTCGATAGGTTTCATTGACAATGCCACATAAGGCCGTACAAATTATTAATATAGTCATACAGTTTGAATGAGAAATAGGAGAAAATGAAAATGAATCGACTTTAGAATTATGTACAAAATAATATCATACCTAATAACCTACTACCCATAAACCGCTTCCAAATATTTTCTGCGTTCTAATATACTTTACACATACTCGTCTCTGTTTTCTGAACTATCTTAGGACTTTTAGATCCAAGTAATAAGGGTAGGGGAGCAAGGAGGCCCACCTCAAAAATTAACCAATTTTTTTTTTCATTTTTTTTTTTTTTAATAATTCTGGTTATTTGTACATTTTATGAAAGGTAAAATGGACCGCTTAAAAATTAAAAAAAAGCTATTCTATTTATTAAAACCGAATCTTAATTAATTTATTCAAAGTGTTATTTTTTGGATAATTCTATCGATTTAGCCTATAGGCAGAGCATGCGAAAATTTTATAAACACCAATGACAATTTTTTTAATCGATAGAAAAATAATTACTAATCAGTAACGCTTTTTTTTTATTAAATACTTTTTAATAAATAATTATAATTATTATATATAACATTATAAATAGGGGAATGTAGGAAATGTAGCTGCTTTGAAGGTAACCATTCGAAAATACCACAAAATTGATTTACTTAACTATTGACTCTAAAGATGGATGTTTTTTTCTACTCACTACTTCAAAACGCCACGGAAAGAGTCACTTCAAGAGGTTAGCTAATGGTCGTAGGAAAACGAGAGTATATGCAACCTGTTGATAAACTTCTTCAGTTACACCAAGTGAAATCCGTCACAAAAAGGGCTTTTATCAAACTTGTTGCATAATGCGCTATTACTTAGTTCGCTTTGCACTGCTTCACGAAATATCTTATCAGTATGATTCCTGATGTAGCTGTAGTAGAGTTCGATTTCACTCTTAAATACATCTAAGCACTCGCGCGCTTCATTGGGACGAAGAGTGAGTAAGGAGAAATTAAATAAAAATAAAAAATGTATTTGTCACTTTTACCAAGAAATCACGCTGCATAAATTATATAATTTTGTTGTAAACAATTTTACTTATTTTTTATTTCAATTTTTGAGGGAAAAAAATAAAAAATCATCGACATTATACTGTAAATGAAAATAACTTGCCTTTGATGATTATGGGACAACGGAAAAGTAAGTGCTTATTTGGATGTATGAACTAGCTTGGGCCATTTAATCAAAACAGTTACGACTTAATGTCGGCCTAAACATTTCACATTTAATACGACCGAATAATTAAAGTTTAAACATAAAATTATCTAGTTTGCACAAGTGTAGGCGATCGTTTTTGAAATATGGATTAGGCGATAAGAACTATCGCAAAATATTCAGAAAATAATTCTAATTATATTAGAATTATGATATTATAATATTTGTAATGACCTTTAATGAGCTGTTCAGTTTCAAATAAATTCACGCAGAATTCGGACGAATACATTTGTTAAACTCACCTGCAATGGACCAGATACTCCGGTGGCTTATACTATTTTGCGGTATAACAAACTTCCATTTTTCTGAAGGTAAGTTCTTTACCTTAATTTTAAATTTAAAAAGATCTCCCCATGAATAAGATTCGATATTTTTTCCAAGATTGATCAGCAAAATGTTTTAGTGATAACCTAGTTGCATATTTTATAATCACAACAATAAAATTTCAAAAGGTGCTGCTGTCAATGCGGCCAGACCATTTCAACTTCAGCATAAACAATCGAAATTGTTTTTAAACAAAAATTTAAAGTTCGTGGAATCGAAACTGCAAGCGGCTACTTTCAAGCTCGAATCATACAGCAATAACCGAGAAACAGACCGTTATTTCAAGGAGGTTACATCTGGGTGAGTTACTACCTACAACTTCAAGTATATTCTTGAACTCTCGCCCATTTGCGTACATAGATAATTACAAAATGAAAAATTTATTTAACGTACCTATTGTATTTTACACGACTCGTAAAAAATATTTTCAGGAAGGTGTTTGATATCAGAGGCGGATGCAATGGAAGAAATGTTATTCTGTACAATAAATCCGGAGCAAACAATCAACTATTTTTTGTATATATGACTGGTGCCATTCAGACGTTTTGCGACCGGTACAGGTACTTAACAATGGATGCTGAGAGAAACCTAATATCTGAAGATGCCGATTACTCCAATAAAGAAAAATACTATTTTAAATTTATACAATAACGGTTACATCCACACCTAAAATCTTAATAAACGATTTCAATTATTGATATGTTGATATATTTACTTTTAATTATACGGGGTGGTCTAAGAGGAGGTCCCCGGTCGCTCTAAGATATTCTCAATTATGCAGCATTCCTTCTTCTGTCATTCTTCATTCATGTGATATCTTATCGAAATAATACATAATTTCGTAGATATTTAAACAACTAAGTTACTTAAGGAAATCCTAATAGTTCCGTACCTTAATTAAACGCACAGCCGAACTTCTAGAGATAGCTTCTGGAAGGGTTAAGACATTCATTCCTGGCATATCATTCTATATAGAGCATACAGGGTATATGAAAAATAATAAGAGTTCTAAAAACACTGTTTGTTGAGTTTTTTTTTAATAGCACATTCTGCGTATTCCTTTATCTTTGAATTCTAGGAAACTATAACTTTTAAAATTAAAACCATGTTTACAAAGAAGGATTTGTAGTATAACGGGAAGAAATCTTCCTAAAATCAAATGAAAATGATATCGGTATTATGTAAAAATAATGAAAACTTATTTTTATATCAAAGGCGCCTAAAGATAAGTACAGCGAAACTTGCTTAAAAATCTAGGAAACTATTTTTAATTTCGATAAAGAGACACCGATATAGGGAAACCAGAACAAAATCACTTTATTTCTTCCGTAAAATTTAAAAATGATATAATATACATAAAGTGCCATTTGAACTAAGCAAGATTTTGTCACGTTTATGTAGAGACGACAAACACTGCATAGTGAAAATATTTTAGAGCGATAGACCACCTCCTCTTACATCACCCTGTATAATTTAAAGGAAATCCGTTGATCCGTACGCCAGATACTTGGGAGACGAGCGACACGAGCCAGCTAGATCCAGCCCTGTCAGCGACCAAATTATAGGTAAAGTTCGCCGGACGATATACCGTTTTTACAATGTTTTCTGGTTTTGCCTTTGGAATGAGTTGAAGACCTGCCTGTTGTAAGCACGTGTTCCACAAGATGTTAGCCGACAAGAAATGAAAATTTTTCTAATTAAACTGTTATATTAATTCATATCAGTGCACCTTTTATAAATCTTCCTAAAACTGCCCCTACTTGAGGTAGCTCCATTTCAAGATCAATTTTCCCATTATACTCTACACAAATCCGTCAGCTTTCAGCACTTGTATGCACAAAGTACCGAAGTACGGTTCTGCAACGTCATTGTGGAATCGCGAATCTATTTATTGAGGGTTACAAAGAGAAACCCAGGCGAGGAAGGCCTGCGGTTAGACCTTCATAAAAACTTACCAAAGTTAAATACCAGATTATGTCGTAAAAACGGTATATCGTTCGGCGAACTATAGTTAGAATTTACTTCAAACCCAACTATTTTGAAAAGGAGGACCTAATTCACATAAAAATAATTGTGGAATTATTTTTTTTAACAAAAATATTATACAGGGTCCTACACTAAGTAATAAGCCCTTAAAATTTAGGAAAGACACTTCGGTAGCGGCTTAATACAAGTAAAAGCTAAATTAGGATCAAATACTAATTTTCGTGCAGAAATCCGAGCTATTTGCAAAATTATGAAGAGAAACTAAAATAAAAATAAAACTTTGATACCTCGAAAGCGAAACATTTTAGGCAACGCGGAACTTTTTACACTAAACATACTCGAAATATCACCACCCTATTCAGCATGACTCTGTATTAAAAGAAAAAAATCCGAATTTTAATTTTCAAGGTATTGTAAGGACATTTACTTTTGATTTGAATGCAGCATCATTATTCACAGACACGCCCAAAGTTTCATTCAAAAACAACAAAATCGATGCTTCCAATTAAGATATGAATATACACTCAACTATGGTTCTATTAATTAGGGTGAAATAAAGTGATTGCTAGATGCGAGGCTAAATGTTCCCGGCTTCATTCGACAGAAAAATATTCAAGATAACATACAAAAAAAATATTGACTAGATTTGCGGCCACAGTTATGGCTGGTACAATTTGATGTTTATGTACCAAATGGAGGAACTAATTAATTTTAACTTGCATAATATCACTGCGGAAAACTGGATATTCAAAAGTCGTAATCACCGTCACCCTCGCAAATGCTCTCTCAGAATTTTATTCCCTCTGGTTGTGCTTTTCAAATTCAAAAGGCGCCGCATTCCGTGCGAATCGCGTTAAAAACTTCAAATGAATAATTCGAACGAAACCGCATGAAAGAAAACTTTTTTATTAAATGGGCGAGATTCTTTGAGCCAATTATCAAATAATTTCCCGGACTGATTTTCGGAAACATAAATTGCTTAGTCTTTCCTTTATTTTTTAAAACTTAAGTTAAAATAAAGAAAAAAAACACAAAATCTTAATGCATGAGATTAAAAGCAATTCCGTTAGGAATTTCAAACATTGCAACATTATTCTCGACAAATAAGACTAGGTAATTAAAGGCAAAGTACAAGTTGCCTCTTTGGGTTTACTGATAAAATAAATTTATTTTTACACAAATATCCGTGGACTCGCGATGAGAACTACAGTGATTTTGATGTTTGAAAGCTGTTTACTTATATGCATATTTTTGGGGGCCCTTTTTTCAAAAAACACAATATTTTGGCTCTATAGCGTTCTATATCTCAAAAAAGTTATTTTATGTTATTATGTTTAGTTATTTTAACATGAATATGTTTGTTCTATGTTAGGCATGATTTTTAAATGAATTGATTTTTATGAAATTAAATGTGGTTTGGCACCACTGGATAATATTAGATTTCTCTGCAAAGCAAGAGAGTTGACGCAATTTGGTTATGTTGGTCGTCATGCTACTGTGTTCGAGGCTGTTGTCTTTGTTGTTGCGTATTTCTAGTGTTTTAGAACGTATAAATATGGAAAGAAGACATTGTGTGAACAATCCAAATAACTTTTGTTATATCTGTGGTGGTTATGTCGTAGTAAAGCAAAGGCAAACTATAACTTATTTTGGGAAAAATGTATACCACGCTTATTTTGGTATAAAAATTGGCGACCAAGACAAGTCCTGAGATCCTCTTACTGTTTGTTCCGTTTGAGTTGAATCATTAAGAAACTGGCAAAAAGGTAGGAAGAAATGTTTAAGCTTTGGTGTTCCTACGAAGAGCCTAGGAATCACAGTGATGATTTTTATTCGTATAATGTTCATGGATTCAGCAGAAAAAATAATAAACAAACTTTGTGTCCCAATTTAGACGCTGTTATTGGACCAGTTCCTCATGAACCAGAAGTATACCATATCGTCACACTCAAAGGAATCTAATTCTCACCCAGGTCACTCAGATTTCACACCAGATTTCAGAGAGCCCGAACTAGAGCGAATTAAGTGATTTAATTAGAGATTTGCACCTTCCAGAGGATGCATCCGAATTGTTAGCGTGCAGACTTCGTGACAACCATTTACTGACACCTGATGTCACATCAAGCTTTTACCGGGATCGCATTAATAGTTATGTCAATATTTTACTCAGGAAAAACCGCTAGTGAATTGCAACAATATTCAAATTATGAAATATGCCCTTCTATAATTATAAATTCTGCATTCCTCCTGCGTCAGTTTTTGTTGAGTCGAACCAGCTAACGTTTCGCCAATCATCCTGTTGGCTTCTTCAGAGCTTGACTGAAACTGACTCGCTTTTTACTCTGCACTTGCTTTTATGTTTGAACACACTGCCCTAAAATCTCTAAAATCTAATCCCGTAATCATAAAAGCAGATAAAGGAAATGGTCATGAATATCAGGAAAAGATTCAATATATTTTTACAGACGGATCATATCGTCAACTTAAAAAGGATCCTATGTCATCTATGGAACGCACCCTTAGATCTATCATTAAGGCGCCTTCTCTACCAGACTCCGTGAAAAAATCGGTCACCCCTCATGACTGAAACTCTCACCATCATTTCAGATACATTAAAATCCGAGAATCTGGAACCACCTTAATTGGAAAATGTTTGCATGGAACATATTTTTCTTATAACAGTCAAATTTTTGAACCAACTTCTGGAACAGCTATGGGTGCTCCACTATCACCAATCATCGCGAATATATTTATGGAAGTATTTGAGAAGAAAGCTCTCGACACCTTCCATCTAAAACCAAAATTATGGAAATGCTACGTCGATGATACTTTTATTTGGCCTCATGGTCAAGAATCCCTAGTAGATTTTTTTAGACATTTAAACTCTAACATAGGTGTTACCATTGAAATAGAAACTAATAACAACCTACCAGTTTCAGTCATGCCCTGGAGAAGCTAGCAGGGTGATTTACGAAACGTTAGCTAGTTGGACTCAACAAAAAAAACGCAGGAGGGATCCAGAAGTTTTATAAAAAGTATTACAGTAGCCTGTGGAAGTTTCTTTGAAAAATTGGGAAATAGGTCTTAAGTAAGCGTTGTTTGAAATGCGTTTTATTGCACAGTGGTAACGAACTGGCTTAGGTTCCCGTACACACTCGGTACATTTAAAAGAAATGTATGAAAAATACGACTTCCTTTGAAGAAAATAAACTACCAAGAATATCAGTTTATGCTTTGTGGTGACTTTAAATTGCTGTGCATGCTCCTAGAACAACAGAGGGGTTATACAAAATTTCCTGCCTCCTATTCACATCAAACTTGGCGTGATGAACCATGAAGCCCTAGACAAAAATGGACAGGGTTTCAACTATTTTTACGAGAAATTTCCAGCCATATCTGAAGCCAAGATAAAAGAAGTTATTTTTTTGGGTCGCAGATAAAAACGTTATGCAAAGACAAGGACTAATGTCGAGAAAAACGCCTGGGTTTCATTTAAAGTAGTAATTGATAAGTTGCTTGGGAACTCTACGAAAGTACTGTTCAAAATATGTTACAACACTTTCAGGTTGTAATATGAGTTTGGAAGTGCATTTTCTGTTTTCACACTATTTTTCTGAAAATCTTGGACCAGCTAAGGAAGAACAGGAAGAGAGGTTAAAGCGGGATATGCCCTTAAAAACACACAGCCGAAT